CTCTCCCTCTCTCTCTCGCTCTCTCTCTCTCTGTTTCTCTGTCTCTCACACACGCTCGCTCTCTCATGCACTTGTCTTTGGTTAAAACGTGTTTTAGCCGCCGCCGCTTGGCTCGCTCACCGTTAGCGACCATTCTTCAGCTTTAGTTCAATTCGAAACGCGTCTCAGCTTGGTTGTGGCCCACGGTACGTCTTCGACTGCGACTCTTGGCCGGACTGAAATTGTTTTGCGTATAACCAAAGCCAAACAACAAAGCCGCTGCTTTAGCCAGTCTGTGTGTGAGTGTGTGTGTCTGAGTGGAGCAAGTGCGTCCGGCGCAACCTTAATGTCCGATCGCTCGATCGGTCGGTCTCGTCGAACGGTTTCCATTAACAAAGCGCGTCTCAAATCGGAATTCGGTGTTCGGTTCGTTGTCTTGTGTATGCAAAACGCGTAATTTTGCATTACACTTGATCCAACGTCATAAAAGTCACCCTCCCACCTCGCAAACCCACCTTGCCTCTAGCCAACAGTTCAGTTACTCGGTCATTACGGACTGTGAACATTGTTGTTGTTGTTACTGTTAATTTCGAATTTGTTTTGTTGCTGCAAGTTGTCTTTCAACGCTTTTACTCATATCTATGTGTGTGTGTGTGTGTGTGTGTGTGTGTGTGAGGAAAATTTCACTTTGCATTGAAATCAAGTTTGGTTTTCACAACTCGAATCACGCTGTGTGGCCACAGTGCGTGCCTCATTTTGCCTCACTGCACTTGTTGGCCAATTAAAACCAATAAGAATCTTGTCTGTGGGCAGCCAATTGGAAATTAGCATAACGTTTTCCTGGCCCCGACATTCTGCAATTCTCCATTTAGAAATCGCCAAGAATATGCATTAAAAGCCATTAATTAAAAATATTAATTAAAAGCTTGCCCACATAAAACGCCAAGCAATAAGCGAAGGTCATCCGACAATGGCTCGCTCTCTCTCTCTCTCTCTCTCTCTCTCTCGTGCTGGCGGTAGAAGAGAAACATGTTTCACACTTTCTGTCATTCCTTAAGAAATTAGTTATAATAAATGGTTAAAAGCAAATGCCAGCTTAGAAATAGAAATGACAGCAGTAGAAAAATAAACAACAACAAAAAAATGCTCAAATTGCATTAATGATTCTAAATGAATGAATCTTCAGAATATATATCATAGCTCAAGGTGAAGGTTGCCAGCATTTTGGAGAGATTCAAAGCAACAGGTGAAAATTTGACAGCCACTTTTTCTATGTGTGTAAAAGTCGAGAAAGGCAACGTTCGCGAACAAACATAGGAAGACCACAATAAAAAATATAATTTCTATAAAAAAAAAAATTATTTAAATTTTAACAGTTTTATAATATAACTTGATGAAAATTTGAATGTTACCCGCAAATTCTCTAAGGCCTTGAACCTTTCGTTAATTTTTGACTTCAAAATGAAATCATAATATTTATAAATTACTTTATAACGGTAACTCATCAATATCTCTTAAATAAACAGCAAAAATAAAAAGAAAACCTGTTAAACCTGTAGCTCTCAAAAATTTGGTTAAATGTGCTCCAAGCGGCATTTGTATTAATAAAAAACAAAATGCAAACACTGAGCTAACAAATAAATTGCTAATAATTTACAAATTGAATGCTAAATACTACGCAAAAATACCAAAAATTACAAGCAAGCACACACAAAATTAATAAACAAAAGCCTTTTGGATAATTCGTAAGCCCAAAAATGCCTGTCAAACCGAAGCGGGCGTCGCTGTCGCTGTCGACGTCGCAGTCGACGTCGCAGCCGACGCAGACGGTACTGTGGAGCAGCCTCCTCAGCTTCTTCATCGTCTTCTGCTGTGTCAGCAGCAGCATAGCACAAGGTGAGTGAGTTTTATGTTTTACATATGGTTTTTATTATATATTCGTACAGGTAGGTAGGTAATACAAAAATTCAAATTGGAATTTTCGAAACTCCCGGCGCTTTTAGTCATAATTTTGTCGCAATTGTTATTTTTGTTTTGTTTTCGGTGTTATCTTGGCTACGATAATTGTTTTATTCAAAACAAAAACAGAAACTGAAGAAGAAACCTTTGCCGCTGATTCATTTCATGCTAATTTATCTTGATGCTGCCAAGAGATCTTTTCGGGCCTCTGCCAGCCGGAGCCGGAACTTAGTCGAGCTCTGGTTACTGAACAGCCTCAAGAAGAAGAAGAATAAGTAGCAGAAGATATGACACAATAAATGCGTGATCAAAATTAAAAGGTTAAACGAAAAGAATTGTCGACATTTGTCACGATAAAGTTAAAAAAAAGAACGGAAAGAAAATAACCAATAATAAACCCAAAGAAAAATAAAACACGTACTTCCGTAGTTGACGTTTAACTGTCCACAGTTTAGCAGAATTTTCAATTTTCGGAGTCATGTTTATTTCTATAGAGACAACAACAGCTGTCAAACTTATGTTAAGCCCAGCTTTAAATAAATACCGAATACTGCAAATACACACTTTGTACCATACATATGTACATACATATGTATTTGTGTATTTACGTAATTATGTATGCATGTGTATGTAAATACTGACTTACCTAAATATTTGCCACTTTAAAGTTACCGTTGATTCGCACTTTTTCGGCAACCTTTTACGATTGTTGTAATAAGATGACTTCGCTTTTTAAGTGTGTTATAATGTCAATGTGTCAATAAAATCATTGTCACCCTGTGTGCAAGCGTTGATCTTAACGGTTAAAGTCGAATGCAGTATATAGAAGTTCTTATGCCGAATCACAGAATATGCAAACAAAACTTATGTATATATCAAGATACACAAGCAACTGCACAAACTCACGCACTTTTAACATTTCCCGCTTGCAACAAGACTTAACTTTTTATTTGAGTGTCGTCTGCACTTGTCGTCATTTTGTCTGCCTTTTGCTTTGTATACTTTTCTTAGGGATGCCACCTAGGCGCCAGAAATCTGGTGCACATAAGCTGTTTACAATTAATCGATGTGCAATCAATATCGAATAGAAATATCGAACATCGGTGATTACCTGTTGAGATTCGAAGATAGCGCGGAAAGAAAGTTTCAACCCAATGCCTGGGTTGATAAACTGTTAATTTTATTACATAAAATATTAAAAGGTATCATATACTCTCTGTTAGTATATGCTTATTACATAAATCTTTATATTGAAATAATTATAAACTGATTATAACCATATTAAATCAATTGAAAACAAAGCAAAGCTAACAAACTGTCAGAAATGTAAATACAATTTCTTATGTAACACCCATGGGTCAAAACTGAAGATGACAACACCTTTCTACTATCATAAAATTCAATACCGAAACAACAAAATTCAAACAGCGTAGAAGCCAAATGAATTTCGGTAAAATAAAAACCGTGATATGGTGAGGTTGTCAAACAAAAAAAAAAAAAAAAACATGTTAATGAAATTAACTAACTAATGAAGAGCTGATGATCTCCACTGAATAAATCCATATGTGCGTTTTCATATATATATGTGCATAGATACTCATTAATTCGAAATCAAGAAATACAACTCTTGGAAATCTACATTCATTTCATATACAGACATCTTGTCGCGCGTGTTGTTGTCGCATAAAAAACAAGTTTCTGGGCGCATTTTTTTTTGGCCGACAACTATGCAAATTAAAACACTAAATATGTACACAAGTATGCACGAATGTATTGTCCAACCAAATTGTCCATAGAGAGCTGATATTTTGTAATAATCATGAAAACGAAAGCGAATCGCTCGTGTGCTGACTTTGAAAACCCTTGAGCTTACCCTTGCAGCACTCAACTGTGCGCCATTTCACTTTTCTCTTTGCAGCCATGTATCAAGTTGTTAATTTTATCGAATCAAATAGATAGAGACAGATAGAGATATGCTGTACAATGTAAGAAAGTGAAAGAAATGTTCAAGTTAACCGAGTGTCTGCCTCACGAGCTCCGCTGATTTTCTTCAAACTGTCACACATAAGCTCTCGGGTTGATAAACAAGTCGAGTACTCGTCCAAATGTGACGAATACCTTGCACATTGGCCTGAGCAATATGAATACAAGCAAGTACACGCATTTCTGAAGACTTCACATGTATGAGTAATTGGTAGCTTATTTTCTTTTGCTTTACTTTTTTTACTTTTTCTTAAATTGGCAGTTTCTTCTGTACGTTAATGATGAGAAACACATTCCATTGACAATGCCTATGTAAAACTAAACTTGATACTCGCCTCATAGCATTACATTAAAATTTATGCACTGTGGCTAAAGTCGATTTTCAGCCCAAAAAAATGCTGTCAACGGGCTGGCATTTTTGCGAATGGCCAATTAAAATACTTACATTTTACAGTGCACAATATTTCCGCTTTACTAAACTAAAGTTGCTTTTGCAGTTTTGCGCTCTAAAAGGAGCACAAAAAACGAGTTTAATGTCAAAATTGATCAGATTGTCTGACTGAAAGATACCCTATCTAAGCTTGAAATCTGAAAGCTATATAGATATGCCCGTTCTTAAAAAGTGAAAATACATTTCTTTTTCAGCTTGATCCACACCCACTTCGAAAACATTCAAAGTCTGATCAAAACTTATGTGCATAATAGATTTCAGTACCATTGTACATATTTATCAAGTATATATGTATGTTACCTAAATTGATACTACCCTCTGTTGAATGAGTACAGGGTATAAATACTTAACAGGTGCACAAGGCAGCAGTACTTGTTACTTTTAAAAAAATAAAAATAAATAAAATACTGAAAGTGTATGAATTTTGCAAAAAAAAAATGTTAAATGCACATATAGTTGATTTGAATTTAATTTCAAACCTGCAAATAAATTAACTGAAATTCAAAATAACGTTTTTTTGCGAATCTAATAACAATGAGCTACAAGTGGGCGAACAAAAACTATCGAAGCAAAAGCGTCTTGTCTGTTATCGATATTGTTGGGTTTTCAAAGTCTGGCAACAGTAGATCCAGTTACTTCGCTCTTTCTTTTGGCGAGTGAGTTGCGAGCTGCAAGTTGTTGTGGAATTCTTAATACTAAATTTGTAATCCCGGTCACGTGCTAAAAATATAAAGAGTTTTTTCTGTACGGCTTACAACATCCGTAGGTAAAAAGTACATAATTTGTTTATTTTATTTGACCCGTATTCGTTGCAGTTATTGCCATATTTAGTTGGTTCTTATTTACCCGCGCTTTGTGCGCTTAAAGTGCATAATCTTTGCCCCAGTTTTAAATTCTTTTAAAAATGTCCGAGGGCAATCGTCAGAACTCGTCGTCGTCGTCAAGCTCTGGCAAAAGGAAGTCAAGTGGTTCGCCCGCGCGTGCTCCAACATCTGTTGGTGCCGCTAAAAAGCCCAAAAGAAGAAGAGCGGACGGGACTCACTATGTTGAGAAAATTTTGAAGAAACGCTACGTAAATGGACGAGCTCAGCTATTATTAAAATGGCAGGGCTATTCAATGGAAGAGTGTACGTGGGAGCCCATCGAGAACCTAACCGGCGATTGTATGCGAATGTTAGCTGACTTTGAGGCCGATTTATTTGCTGAGCAATGTAAACGGGCCAGGTGCAAAACAGACGCATCCATGGGATTGCCCGCTCCGAATGATGCGAGTCCAAGCAGTAGCTCACTTTATGTTGAAGAGAACAGTCCCTCCGCAGCAAGTCCTGCTGCCTCAATAAATGCGCGTCACCAGCTCATCCAAATGCCTTTGCCAATGCTTGACTTGGCCGACGTAAAGCAAGAAGAAGAACGGGATCAGCCGCAACTGGAGGAACAGACGCAAGAACAACAATTGCAGGAGAAGGAGCAACAGCTGCAGGTACGAATACTGCAGAAGGAAATGCCGCAGAAGCAAATAACGCCACAGAAGCAACAACTGCAGGAACAACAGAGCCAAGAACAAAAAGCGCCGGAACGACAACTGCTATTGCCTACGCCCAAAGCAAGCCCAAAGCTCTGTGAGGAGCTTAATCTAAGCAGCGACAGTAGCAGTGCCTCCGATAGTGATAGCAGTAGTAGTAGCAGTGGGAGCGGCAGCAGCAGTAACAGCAGCAACAATAGCAAAAATGGCAAAAGGGGCGATCAGAGAAAACGGACGCCAGTGCTGCCCCCTGTTCCTAAAAGCAATCCGTTCTTCATAAATCTTGATTTTGCGCACAAGCTCAACCTGAGCAGTGAGGATGATTCTGATGATGAAGTGGAACTACCTGCTACGGAACAAGCGAGCGCCATGGAGCGTCGGGAGGTTAACGCAAACAGTGGCTATGTCAAAAGTTCGATAGAAACTCTTAAGGAGCAGGCGCGCAGGTGGCATGAAAGCAAAGGCAAAGATTCTGAAAAAAGTGGAAGCCAGGTGGCAACAGTAAAGCCAGAGAAACCGCCAACAGCTAGGCCAGAAACACAACCAACGTCAACTGAGTCCAAAATACCTAAACTACTGGCAATTCCCAAAAAGATGAAAGATAAAACAATATCGCCAGAAACACCAAAATCGCGACGCCGCCTGACCATGCACATGGATTCCGTTGAAGAGGCCATGGAGCAAGTAAGTAGTTGGATGTTTGGTACTGTTAAAGGACCCGATTGTTTAATGGGCCCTATTCTCACAGATACATAGTGGATCGTCGATGAACCGGGGATTGAGCCTGGACAGAGGCCGGAGTCGAAGCAATAACCGACCGACCCGCAACGGCCGCTTTAAGAACATTAAACTATTGTCCCGCGTGGAGTATTCTCCAAAGCAATGCGCAAGCGCAGACAAAAGCCGGTTACGCGCTGAAATTTGTCAACAAAACCCATCGAAAGCATCTCCTATCAGCAAGGAAACATTGGGGCCCGCTGCTGAGCCCTTGCATAGCATGCCCTCAAAGACACTCAGTCCGAAACCAAGCTGCCAACTGCCGAGCACGCCCAAAACGCCGGAGCCTAGCTCAGTCAGCAGTGTCGGAGGTAGCAGCGGCAGCAGCGCCGGCGCGCGTGGCGGTAGTGCCACCAGCAATATCAGTCAGGTGGGCAACTGGGATGATTCGCTGCAGTTGCCCGCACGTCCGCAAGGCATCGAACGGGGCCTGGCGTTGGAGAAGATACTCAAGTCCTTCAAAATGAGGGGCGAGACATATCTAGTGGTCAAATGGAAGGCTGTCTCAGTACTCGATGCGGTGTTGCTAAGCGGTGTCATTGAGCTGTACCCGCACATTGTAATCGAATACTTTGAGAAACTTCAGCTACGGAGTCCGCTAGATTGATGGTGAGTTTCTATTGCTGTCGTTTTCCCGCTTATATCTTGGCCCTGTGCCCATAACCTTAAACACGCGCTTCCGTTTTGGCGCAGCTTCATAACTTTACAGTTCGACGCTCGCATTGCCATGAGCCATGAAAATGTTGCCCGCGTTTGGGTCAAGACAAATTTGCCGCCAAAAAGCGCCGACATCCGCTCTGACGGCAACTCGGTAACGTGGCATCCACTGCCGATACTTGCTAGCATTTCATGGCTTCTTCGCGTAGCCATCTTTCGTTCTCATGCACCCGTGTAAGACTTAACCGAGCATCTTTATAAATCATTGATAACGCCAGCCCAGCCATATGACAAATTGCGCTGGAATTACCAGCGAATTCTAAATTATGTGCTGTGCTGTGCTGTGCTGTGCTCTGCGTGTTGAGTCAGTATCGCGAAAGAACTTATGACAACTTTGATACACTCACATTGATTGAGGGTAATCGTAATGGCTGGCTTAGTTTGTTAGCCTTGAAAATCTAACTTTAATGGACATTATACGTACAAGTTCTTGAGTTTTAAAATCAAACTTATGCTGGCTCCTTATTACAAGTATATTATTTCATGAGCTTTATAAACAAAGTATTGCTGTTTGGATTCTTGCTTATTTTTATGTCCATGCGGAGGGTAATACATTTTTGTCCCGACCGCAATAAGTATGTACATTTCGATCAGATTATTGTTGATCATTCTATATATATATATATATTATGTAAAATAATGTATATTGTAAAAACGAATCCAAAGCCACAGTCTGCAAGGGTTTTTAATCTTCAGCATGGAGAAATCTACCTTTAATATGTTTTCAGCTGTGTTATTGAGTTGGAGCAATTCCTTGCGAGGCTGATTTGATTTATTTGGAATGTAAACAAAATTCCTTAAATTATAACTCAAATTTTTCTCTATTTATATTACCTACTGTCAACGCAGAGTATTAACTGTTCGTCTAATCGAAAATATTCAAAAATTATGTTTCCACTTGAAATGCAGATCTTACGCTGAAGATCAACGTGCAAGTTATGAGGCTCCAGACTTCTGTCTAGGTCTTGCTTGTTGCCCGCTTATCGCTATCATCTGTTGACAACTGGCGACGACAACAACAACAACAAATCGGACGCCTTTGCTTTGAACTCTGCGGCTTAGAGAGCTGGCACCGACTTATATGTATCTATCCGTGACACGCTCGTCTGGCCAGACGCAAGCTGTGGGCGTTCAGTTCATTCAACTGGCCAGCAAACAGCACAAAAATGGCAACCAAATTGTGTTTCAGCGCAAAGCTATCGATGTACCCAGCCCGACTGTGTTGCGGCTAACCTTCGTCGGCGCGTTCGACCAGCCCAAGAGGCACGCCTCATCGGCACATGGCACTTGGTGGTGCCACTTGAGTGAGTGGCTCAATGAGTGGCTGACAGTTTTGCTACTGGCTCGGCTAATGTGTCCATTTATTGCTGTTGTTGTGCAATTTCAATGCCATTTTCCAGCTCTTTGCGGGCTGCCTGATTGCATTTTTCAGCAATTTGCCAAGTTACCTGAATTTATCAAGTTGCGATTTTTAGGGGACGGGACATTTAGCTTAAGCTCTTCTGTGAATGCTTTTTGACGGCCATATTGGGCGTAAAAGGTTTCAAGAAACTTTTGGCAGTTAAACTCCTAATGTTCATAAAGTCTGTGCCTGTGTTAATTAAATTAGTTAATCTTGTAAGTTGCTCGCTTTAAACTAAATGTAAAGCCCTAAACGCAGTCAAGTTCAATCTTAGCTTAATTAACTCCTAAGCTGCCATTGTTAGATTTATTAAAAATACTTCAATCTGGAAAAACAAGTATGTGTCAGAGAGAAAAGGACGACTGACCTCTAAAAAGTTTATACAGCTTAAATTGTTTCCTGTCCCTTTCTGATGAAATGTAGATTCGTTAATTTCTGCAATTAGTTTTTGGCTAAGGCATTGTCATATTTTGTGTTTGATTTGGATTTCAATTCTTGTCTATAATTTAATCAATTTTCTCTTTGTAAGGCGCGCTCGTTACATAGATATCTATCGCGGTGCTCTATTATTATTATTATTATTGCTGTGCAGTTGTTAGTTTCGCTCTTTGTTGTCTTGACTTGAAGCCCGACTTCAACTTAGTTTTGATTTGCCAGGGCTGGGGCTCATTTGATTTATGTATTGGCTTAACTATAATTTACCAGTTTTAGTTTGGTTTGCATTTTTTGTGCTATAAATGGAAAACAAGATTCTTAATACCAATCAAGGGCCCTGTGTTTTTTAGCATTTTTAGTTTAGTTTCCACTAATTCGATTTTCTAAATTTATGCCGTTGTGGAAAATGTAAGACTAAAAATCTTTCGAAATTATTCCAACCACATTTTCGGCAATAATTTGCATTTAATTTTTGCTTGGCATTTCCCTTTACTGTTTTGTGTTGTTGTCAGTGTCGGTTCAGGTATTACAACAACAACAACAGCAGATGTGATAATTTTTCGCTCTTTTGACCATATTTGATAGTTGATGTAATTACGCCCAAGGCGGCCTCATTTATGACGCTTTGCATACAACAAAACCAGACACAAATCTCATGTTGTTGTAGTTGCTGTAATGCAATTTGTTTAACGCTTCGTTTATTACCAAAAACAGCAACGCATTTGAGACGTTGCAGCTGTTGTTGTTGTTGTTGTTTCTGTATATCTTGGTGGCGTAGGTAGCCTGGTTTGCTGAATGAAACACAGTTACAAGCCAGTTAAATATTGAGCATAGCAGACCGAAGCCTAAATACACTTGCAAAGAGAAAGTTTCTTTGGCCAAGAATAATACAGATACTATAATTTAGTTATCTTTTTAGTTAATATTTAACTTGTCAAAAGATTAAAGATATCATTTTGCAATTTAGTCCAGTTAAAAGTGTAGAATTTTCAATAAGTCATAGTAGATTATGCATACTCTCCATGCCACATGCCACAACTTATGTAGATTTCTTACATGCACACACCCCGGCCCCCTCCCCCTTCCTTTTGCTTTACCCTGTCCAGATGCCTGTCCGCCTTCCATTCCAGCAGCAATTTCCACGGCAACATCTTTTTAGCATGTCCAGCGAATTGTGCGGGCGTGGCGTGACCGGCCTTTATTTATTATCTTATTTCCAGTTTTCGCTGTTTGTCGGTTTAATATATTTGTTTAAGTAAAATGCATGTATTTGTTTGTTGGCACGGGCCGCATGTGGTTATTGTTATTGTTATTGTTGCCTGCGGGTTAGAGGTTAGTGGAACAGCAATTACTTGTCCAGGCTATGATTGCAATTGCACAGCAATTGCTGAATGATGATTGTGGTTAGAGAAAAGTCTGCTTCAACTGATTGTCTTGATTGAGGGTTTACCTTTACCTTGTTGAAGCCAATTGACCTGCTAAGAGAATCTCCAACTTGCATCCATTTCTTGTCCATGATGCTCAAATTGCATTGTGATTGAGCAGAAAACATGTTCAGCTGTGGAAATGAATTGTTTTAATATAAAATAAATAGAACAACAATCAGTTGACATAGCCACACTAAGCCCCCTGCCTAATATCAGACTCTGTTGTCTGCCCTGTGAACCTGCTAATCACTTTATTTGAAGAGTTATATCCACATAATAAAAACCTTAATGATATAACAATGCCAGCTGCTCTTTCTCCAATTTGATTTGTTCCGTTTCTGGTGTCAAGTGCAGCAAAACGACCTTGCATTGTTTTTGCTGTTAGAGCTTGCCACGCCCCAGAAGGGGAAAAAAAAACTGTGTTAATTCTTGATGCTTAATTTCATAGCTAATAAAATGAAAACAATTTATTTAACAAAGTTGGGTTTTACATTTGTGCGTTTTTATTACTAGTTTGTGTGCTTCAAAAATGTTGTGTATTAAGCTTAAATTAAAATGTTCGTTTGTTGTTGTTTTGTTTGTTATTTCAGATAATACATGCTCCACTCCGAAGTTGTTTCACACAATAAATCATTAAAACAAAAGCCAAACAACAAATACAGACACAATTAACTCAATCCGCCTGAAGGTTCAGGGGCAACATCGTTTTTCGTTTTTTTTTTTTTTGAAGTCTTCGTGGTTTTCTTTAGTTAGGAGCTTACCAAATTCGAGTCTAAGATTAACTAATTAACTATATGCGCTAACTATTTGAACTAGTTTTAGCTGTAAGGATATTGAAATATTACGTTAAGTATATACATAATCGATATACACACAAATTATATTTGATATTGAAAGAAAATATAAATAAATAATTTGTTATTGCGCCAGCAACAATTAAAAGTCCCTAAACACAGATAACTGCATTCGTATATTTTTTTTATTAATTAGTTAGCTTTTTGGATAACATGCCAGATTCATGAATTGCTACGTTCGCTCAACTTCAATTGTTCAGCCCACAAATTTGTACAATATTCGATTTTACGACTGCGATAGAGAGAAAAATTTGTTGAAATTGCCTTTAAATGTCATTTGCCGGATTTGTAATTCAAATTTCAGAAAATTTCAGTGAACAGTCTCTCGCGCTCGCATTCGTCTCCCCTCTCTGACTTGTTGACATTTTTGTTTGACTTTTTGAAATATTTTCAAAGGTAGCGCCCCAAAAAAAAACACTTGAAAAAAATGCTATTATATTTTTGGCGCATGTAGATTTGTTTTTTTGTGCTTTTCAGAGTGTGTTTGCGCGACCCCATTGATAAAATGACTTTTGTATGGTAATTTGCAAACATGCATTCTTCTGGTGGGTGCCTTTGGTTCACCTCCAACCAAACAAGTGGGCGCACTTACTGCCAATACGTGTGTACAAATATCTGGGTCACAATTCAAGACGTTGGTCAAGTTCTGAGAATACAAATAGCTAAAGTTTTGCTTAGGCGAGTCTTCCTCAAGGATACGTTATTCCTTTGAAATTAATCAACATTGTATTCTATTTTCTGTATACGAATATTACTTATTGCTCGCATAAGTTTCTTACAAAAAATTCGTATAGCTATATGTTATAGTCTTTCGATATTAATGTTCTTTTATGAGTGCTTTATAATCTAGTTTCATCCAGGCAGCAGGATGACGGCCAAGCTATTTAGAAGTAGTTCCACATATATTCCTTAATCAAAATGAAATATTATATTTTCTAGTAAACTTTCATTCCATTCTATTAAGTGCACTTTTTTTTTGTTTTTATGTGATCTTTTACACCATGAGCCATGCCCATAATAGGTTTTTCTTTATTATTGTTTGGTTTTTCATAAGATTTTCTAATTAACTTTCAGCGCCTACGACTTCCGCAACAACAAATTACCAGCGCGTACCAAGTTTGGAGCCACAAATGTGCTTCAACAATTTCAGTATGCAAATCGTTACGCGTTTGATTCATGAGTCACGTGTGGGGTGGGTCGATGAGGTTCGACAGTTGGAGTCGTGGCTGCTGCTTCTTTCTCTTTCGCACTGTACGTGCCACGCCCACAGCTGCAATGGTGCACCTCAACTGGGTGCATTGAACGCATTTTATTTGGCTCGTTTCTCTTTGTCTGCATTGCACGATTTTCCAAACACATTTTCGCTTTTGCTTTTAATTGGCGTTTCTTGTGTTTTGCTGTGGCTTTTCCTTCGACTGCTCGTGTGTGTGTGTGTGTGTTTTTTCCGTTTCACCTTTGTTTTACTTTCGCGTCCACAACTTGTTGCCACTGTGCCACTGTCCAGTTGGCCAGAGTCGACTCGTGCCGCCGCGATAGCTGTTGTTTTTATGGCTTCCAAACTGGGCCCAGCCCTGCACCGCCAGCTGCCATGCAGAACATGGTGCAAAACTTTGATTTCGTTTGACAAACGGACAGGCCATAAATCATAAACAAAAGCACGGCTTGGGCCAAAAAGAAAGCGTTGACTTTAAACGGAAGTGCCGAGCCATGGGCCTAGCCCCATGGACAGTTGCATTTTGTCGATTGGGCGAAAGTAAATCGCAAAAGCAAAAGGTTTTTAGTTCCATTTGATTGGCCAATGCCTGACTGATGCATTATAATGCTAATATGAGTATGACTTTTATAAGCGGAATACATATATTATATAAATATAAATAGTGAAAGATATATCTCAGATATGTTTCCGATTGCAAACTGAACAATCTATTTCCCAAAAACTGAAAGCTTATAACTGTAAGCGGGTGTTCAATTGAGGATTGGACATCTTAAAGACAGAGATATATAAATGAATGATGTTTTCAAAGTTTTTTTTCGAGTTGGAGACTGAAATTGTTGAAACATGAAATTATTTGAAGTATAAGACAGCTTAAAATTTTCTTTAAATTCATTTTCTGTCATCCACATAGTCAAGGTTTCATGTTATACATTTGTGGCATTCCCATTTTCCGCTCTACCGAGTCCTGCACTAAGCCTGACATTACAAAGACTCAACTCAACTCTACAGCTTGTTGTGATAATTGAACTCTGTCATGAGTAAAATTCCCACAGCAAAGGCAGCTACTGTCTTTGCCAAGAGACACCAAAAAAAAATCACTTAATTAAAACGCCAAAGTACAAACAATCAGTATCCGATACCGATCCATGACAAGCATGTGATTCATGCAAGCGATCCGACCACTAAATGCCCAAAACGTCGCAGTGTGAGTCAGAGCAAATGCATGGATTCGAGTGCGCCACGTAGAGTCTTATTCCCCGTGTCCAATGAATGGGACACCCCCCGCGAAGTGATTGCATTGTTGTTGGATAGGTGCTCGAACGGAGCGCAGTCGGTGACATAAGAGGCACAAATGTTGTGGAAACAAAAGAGTTGAAGCTCCATGGGCACCCATGAGTATATTGGCCAGGTGTGCGCTGTGGAGGCCAGGTGGAGGGCTCTGCAGCTTGCTGAACTTTGCGCCCTGCCCAGGCAAAGCCAATCAAGTGTGGCCAAATTGATTACGGCTGCAAAATCCTTGACCCATAAATGCCAGTTGGGCAGCGTTCGGACATGCCTCGACTGTCTCGCCGTTTCCGCTTTTTGTTGCAAGCTGGCAAATGGCAAACATAAAAGTCGCTCTTTTTTTCAACGCCAGCCAAAACGTAACGTTAATGCGTTTTTTTGCCAAAAATTAAACGCGAAAAAAAAACACATTTTACACGTTTACCCAACGACGCCCTGTCGCAAAGTGTTTCATCCAATTTCAAGGTAAATTTACTCGCGGTCTGAGCTTTTTTTTTCTTTGTTTCAATTTTATTTCTTGTTGTCACCTGCTTTTTGTAACTGTTACAGGTGGCACATTGTGGAATTCAGCCGACTAAAGTCAACAAATAAATCATTTGAAATGAAATCGGTTGAAGCAGAATCTGCAATGCTCCAACTGAAGCAAAATTTAAACCACATCGCTTTAATTATGTTCACCTCTGAATTGGAAGAAGCTTGAAGAAGCTCCTTCATAATGGGTTATATATCTATAGATATAGCAGTTCCAGGCCGAGATTTCTTCTTGTTTTTATGAGTAATCAGATTGACCAATAATCATAAAAATTGTTAATTCAGACAATCGAATATCTAAAATTAGGGAAATTTGTGTCAGGCTGATTCACACTTTAACCCGAAAGCATGACTGCATATTTTTCAAGAGAACAATCTCAAGCTCTAGATAATTCTGTAAATGGAAACACACATAAAAAATTGTTATATCTTCACGCAACTTTGCCCATAAAGAAACGTTGAAAAATGTTTAATAATTTACAATAATTCACGATTTAATCTTTTGAATCTATGCATTGTCTGCTTTTTTTCTTTAAATATATAAACAAAAGACAAAAAGTAAAAAAAAATGGCCAAGAAACTTGATTCGGTTTTTTGTTGCTTTTATTGTAATTAGAAATCTTTTTTTTTCCCGCTGGTCTTTGTGATTTATAATGTGGCCAAGATTTTTCTATCCATCTATTCTTTCTTTCTTCTCTCGCTGCCTACATTTGCATATTCGCCGCTTGGGTGGGTGTATTGACCACTTCAAATGGGCGTGGCTGCCAATTGTGAGCCAATATGTGAGCGCAAGCTATAGAAGCCATACGCAATGATGCCCCACTCTGTGCGATTGGCTTTAACATGTGCGAGCCGAAGTAGCTGGCAGCGAGAAGTTCAATGCCCCACCGATTTGAAGTATTTTTTTTTTTTGGGCAAACAACTTTGCCTAAGAACCCGCGCTGCCATGTTCCAGTCCAGCCATCAATCAATCACAAAGCTGGCGGCACTCTTCGAGTGTCCTCTCCAACGCCTTCGCAGAGATCTTCTTCAATTGATGCACCACTCAAAGAGTACGGCCTGGTAAATTGCAATTCATTGTCGCCATGTCTGAGAGGGTATACAGCGAGTAACTGAGGCTCGCCACACTGCGCCTTTATGCATCTTGACATTTTTATTAAAAATTGTTCGCGAACAAAGGGCATATTTCAGGAATGCCGCTCGTTAAGCGTCCAACTGGGCAACTGGCCAGGCCAAATTAACTCTTGAATCCGACTGAAATGCAGTTGTTGTTGTTGTCGTTGTTGTTGTTGCTTCTGGGCATAATTTCCTGCTTAAATAACGCGCTGCTGCATTAATAACAGCAACAAAGGAGCAAACGGACAGCCTAAAAGCTCCCGAAGTCGAAAGGAGTTTTTTAAATGGATGCTCGGTTGCCAGTTTTTAGTGCAGTTCTCCACATCTCAAGGAAAACTGCATTTTAAGCCTGTTTTTCTGGCTTGAATTGTATTTAGTTGAGCCCAGCGAGAGACTCATAAAAGGGCAACTGGCAACGGGACACAAGGCAAACTTGTTAAAATGTTTTTTTTTTTTTTTTTAAATTATAAATAGCGATGCCATAAAAACTGAAATTATGATAGCTACAAAATGAAATGAGTAAATATAGCCCGAAGATTTGTCCTGCTATTGCAAAAATATATTCTCGTATGAGATACAAACTAGTTGTGTGTGCTGGGTGTACTTTTCTCTCTTAATGCCCGTTTCCTCCTCATGGCGATCCCTTTGCAATTTGTGGCATGCCAAGCGCGTTTCTTGCCACTTGCATTTCAACGGCAGCGACAACGACAACGACACCAACTCCAAATGCAACTCCAAATGCAACTGCAACAGCATCCAAGTAGTCGGATAAGTACTGGAGTTACGCCATTTGAAGCACATTGCATTCGGAGTGGCAACCGAGACAGAAAACAGTTCTATTACTTAATATGCAACGTTAATGCGAACAATGGCAGCACGAACTTGTTGCTGGTGGGGGGAATACTTGTACCTGGACGTGCTCGTGGGCACACCAGCCCAGGCAGCAGTCTGTCCATTCA